TCTTAGAACATTGTTTCATTGATCTGTCCATTTGTCACCGAATATGCGCTCCAGTCTTCTCGAATACTCAGTGATTCTACTGCAGGCCCTGTGCTTTTTACCTTGGCAGGTTTGCTCATGGACTTTCCCCTTGTGGAATAACCTCCTCACAGTGCTCACCTATTGAAATTGTAGCTCTCTCTCAAAGCCCAGCTTAGATGCTCTTTTTCCTATGTAAAGTCTTTTGTTATTCTCCCCAGCCAATTATGATTTTGCCATTTTCTGAATGTCTGCCTTGGGTACTTTCTATTTTGGTAGCTTGCATACCAGAACTTCGTAATTTATAGTCTCTGTAAGAGCAAGGATGGGCCTTACCCATCTGTGTAACCTTGCACATAGTTGGTGCCCAGAATAGAACTTTTTGATTTAATTACCTGCATAATCTAGCTATCACATAGAGTTTTCTTCCTGAAAATAAACTTCCAGCAACTTTATGCTTTTTTTCCCACATTTTTTGCTCTGTAAGTGCCTAACTGTGGACATTTCAAAAATTTCATCTTACTGCCATTGTGTCCCTCATCTACGGCTTTTGACATACATTTTTTTAAAAATTTTTTACCCAGGCCAGGCTTGTGCATTTGTGCCTTGGCAGGTTGATGGCTGTGACTGTGAATAATGAGTCAATTATGATCCAGCCTGGGGGAAAGCACAATTACTCCTGACTGGCCAGGCTGAGGTAATCCTCTCCTCCCTGTGCCCTTTCAAATAGAGAACATAAAACAGTTGGAATTCAGAGCACTGCAAAGGGAATTTAGACAAAACATTCATGTGCTGAATTTAGCTTCTTTGGACTTATCCTGATTTATGATTGATTGGTTTTTAAATTGCTTATTTAATCCTAACGACTATTGCTCCAGGGGAGGCTAGATACCAAGAAGCATGTGATCAAGAAGCAGTGGAGTAAAGTAGTTTGGCTGGACAAATCAAGAGCAAATATTATTGTCCAGAGAAACATTGCTCTAGGCTAGCAGTATAATGTGAAAATCACCCCTTGACTTTCAAAGTACTCAACCTTGTTAGAAGCATGATTGCTTATCCCCTATTCTCTTAGCAGACGGTTTTTTGCAATTGCCCTGAGTTGCATAGAATATTCTCCCCCATGAATTTTTCTTTCCTTCCAGCAGTGTATGCAGCATCTTGTGACTGGGGACATGTTCTTGTTTCTGTTGCTGTTGATAGTAGTACAGAGTAACAGACACTTGGAGGTTGCTCTCAGGATCTGCTCATGAATTGTGATGTTGGTTGTGCAGGTCTGAGAAAACTTTTCTCAAAGTGTGGAAACGCTTCTCAGCACACGGGCACTGATCTGTCTGGCTTTTGCATGGAGGAATTTGAATATTTTTAAAAAGTTTATTTCAAAATCAAGTTCTCCAAAAATAATCACCTTTATCTGGAAGATATATAATCAATATGTGGTTAGTATCTAATTTATCAGGGCATCAAAAGTTTCCATTTTTTTCAAGGAGTGTGACCTTTTCCTTTTGTCCCAAATTAGAGGCTGAAGGTGTTGTGGTGGCCTTGTAAGGCCAGTCTGTTGGAAGCTTGTCTGTTACCAAAAGGAAATTGAAATTCCATTGCTTCAGAATAATGAAACCTCTGAACACCTTTAGAAAAAGCTTTGTCTCATGTATTGAAGTTTTGGCTCAGAAATGCCCAAAGAAATACTCTTTCAGGTCTCAACCTACTTGTTCTCTGAAACATTGCTGTTAGATTTCTAAGCTGTATTATGCCTAGCATGTATTTCAAAGGAAGAAACATTAGGGGTAAGATGAAAGGGTAGTAAGGAACTCTGATGAAAAACAGAAACAGAAGAAGAGGGGATGAACAGTTGGGTGGCACGTGTAGATTGCCACCAGGGTCACTCTGGGAGACAGCAGCTGGCTCTGTAATCAGACCGTCCACCACTTCAGGTTCTAGGCTATGCCAGCATCTGCCATTTTGACATTATCATATTGCAAAGGACTTTTTCCTATCTTGTTCTGCCAATAGAGTTACTATGTATTTCGTTTGAAAAACTGATGAAAACCTTTATAAGGAGCTGTTTGGGTGTTTGGAGGGAGATGGTATGTATTCTTGTGAAACTGATTTCAACGTTTAGGAAGGAGCCTTAACCTATAGGTTTAATCACAGAACAAGTTCTTTACTTCTTCTTTTGGTGTTTTAAAAATTAAAACTATGTTTACAAAAGGGGGGAACTTTCAGAGTGGACAAGAATTTTGTTAGATCTGAGACTCCAACAATAGTGCAATGTCAACATCAGAAGCTGGGACTTGATTATATTTTGTTCTTTATTTCAAAAGATTTTCATTTTGTTACCTGTCAGATAACTTGAGAATTTTTCTGGAAATGGCAGAGGATTACATTGAGTGACCATGAGAACAAATGGAAGTTGTCCTTATAGAACATCTTTTATTTTCACACATTGCTGTGCTTTTCAAGGAGTGTGACACTTTTACAACAGTGTTGTGCCAGGCGCATGGTATTTTCTTAGTACATAGTTGATTTAGCTTGTGCTTGATTTTAAAGATGAACAGGGAGAACTGAAGCTGTTCTACAGCTTATTACAGCAATGTACTGAGAAGCAGTGGCAGCCACAGGAAGTCTTCTCTTCCCTTGTAACTTTGGTGGAGGTTGAAGAACTCTTTCATTCCTCAGTTAACTCCTGTTTCCAAGGCTTATATGCCTATCTTGCTGCACCCTGTTCCCACTACTCATAGTTGCCTTGGGGCTGATTCAGTACATCTTTGTGACTGTCAAAGAGGAAGACATCTGGGAGTCCTGGGACCACTTGGTCCTCCTTATTCTATGGTCACCTCAGCAGTAGTCTTAGCAACCCTCCCAACACCTTGCTGAGTCTCCCAGCCCCACCATCCCTGGCACCCAAGGCTGGGACTTTATGCCAGAGTTGTTGGGGATTTGTTGGAGCAAAAGGCAGAAATCACCTCTTATAGTGGCTAGTTAGGAGTTCTGGTGCTAGTGCAGGAGGCAGTTGGAGAGAGCTGGTCTGAGCATGTGTTATTCATGGATATGACCTTTTCAAGAGAAAGTGATGCATTCAATATTTGTGTTTTTCCCCTGTAGCTTATTAATGACATTAGGTTAAGTTATGTCTGTTCCCCAACAGTATTTCAGTGGACATCCCTAGAAGTCTTAATTCTACCAACAACAGGGAGGGTATTCAGAAACAAACAAGGGATTTCAGCACTGGACTTGCACTGGGCTGTGATCATCACAACGGCCTGGTCATCTCACTGATTTTGATGTCATGCAACTGATAGCTCAAGAGAAATGAGTGTGGGCACTTTGCCACTTAGGCTATTTCACAAGCCTTCATTAGAAACCCACCTGAGGAATGCACGACAAAACCATCCCTGCATCTGTGGAACATTTTCACCGTAGAGTCTCATAGGGCTTAGAGGAGGATTCCTGAAACCAACAATAGACAGTAGCTTGATTGCCGCCATCTGACTGCTTTTGGATTTTTTTTTTTTTTTTAATCACCCTTCTCAGGTTCTGAGACAGAGATTCCTATATTTGCTCTTGTCACAGCAAGTAAGTTCCAGTTTGGGACTGTATCCTGCAGCCTTGGGTCTTCTTTGGCTAATTGTATGCTTTTCTTCTTCTTTTTTCTTTCTTGGACTCCCCCACTTCACATTTTCCATCTTTTTTCTTCTTCTAGTCTGAACCGTTTCATTCATTTGCTGTATTATTCTAGGTAGCAAAGCACAGTGGTTAGGAGGAATAAAAAGGGTCTGGAAAAAGAAGGCCTGGTTCTGATCCTTGAACAAATTACTTAATCTCTCTGTTGGCCTTGGTTTCCTTATCTGTAAATTAAAGTGGGGATAGTAACAGTGTTGCAAGTTATAAATGCAATGATTCATGAGATGCTCATAAAAAAACATTTTACTCAATGACTTAACACTCATTAATTTTAGTATTCTCCTAATATTACTACTAATATTAAAATAATTTTCTGGCTTAAGCTATTACTTCAGTATAATTCATGGTTATCTATTTACCTATAGCTATGATCTCTCTTCCACATTGTAGCCTACAAATGCAGCTACATTTGGGTCATTACTACCACAGTTTCCACTGGTAACTCAAATGCAGCATGACCAGAGCTAGATTTACTGTCTCGCACCCAACTTAATCCATTACCCTCCATTTCTGTTTAATGGCACCATAATATTAAAATTTTCTCAGTCTCTTAATTTTAAATTAATCTCAGGCTCTTTCCTTATCCTAAGGAGATTATCATGAACGTGCATGGATTTAATTCAAAGGTATTATTGTTTGTAATTTTAAATAGTCCAGAAAAGACATTGGTTAAATAAAATACTTTGTATTTATATAACAGAATGCTCTATAACTTGAAATTACATAAAAGAATATGTAATAATATGAAAAGAAACATTGGCAAATTGTGTTATAATATGTGCAGCATGATTCCATTTTGATTTTTAGGAGTACATGATTCATAATAAAAGAGCAGAAAGATAATCATTGAAAATATTTTGTTGTGGTTATTCTGGATCATGGGATTATAAGTTCATTTCATAGTTTACTTTTTTTCTTTTTAGAAATTTTCTAAAACTATCCATACATTGTTTCTATGTAAAGGAAAAAATCTCTAAAATTTAGCAAAAATGTGAGAAGTCTAAAAATGTCTAAAAGTCTTGCAAATACTGTATTTTATTGATCTTTTAACAATGACCAAGAATAGTGTTAGATACATAGTAGGTACTTGTTAATAAATATTTGCTAAATGCTGAATGAAATAGTGTAATTCTGTGCATTTTTAGAAATAACTTTTGATAATTAAGAGGGCTTAATGCCTCAAGCATTGCTTGTACAGTTCTTTGAAAAGTATTCTTTTTGGAGGAGGGAAAAATGAACACAAAATAAACAGAATTAGATGTGGTGGATACATTCTAATACTATACTACTTATCATTTCAGAAGATAATGTGACCAAAAGAGGAGCACTTGGAACTGACGGTTCTGGAAAAATATTTACCTCAGTAAAATTTACTCATAAAAATGAACCAAATGACCACCATCTTAGAAATACAACTGTATTTCATCAGACTTCATCACAATCTTCAGAAGAAGAACAGGTAATACTGTAGCACATTTTGGAAACAATGTGAGAACCAGGGTGTTCTTCATAAATTAAAAATGAAGCCATAAGAAACACTGGACAGTCACTCGATTGGTAACTTCTAGTTCTAGGAGTGACATTGGGGCATTTTATTGAAAATCATGATCACATTTCAGTATTTTAGCAGTTGTCATTTATGACAGTAATTTGGTTATCCCAACTGTATTAAAAACCTTGTTGGATATGCCATCTACAAATTCTTGAAATTATTTATATCAAGGAAATTATTTATTATTTATAGCAAGGAAAGTTTCTTGCTCTACTTCTTTGTGTAGATTGGGGCTTTCTTTTACCTGCCCTAGAGCCATCTCTTGCTAACTTAAAGTAGAAAGTGTTTTGGCTTCTGCAGTAAATGTTGGGTGTTCTCTTCCTAATCTTCAAGACTTTAGAGACTCTTCATATTCTCCTTGGCTTTGTTTTTACATTATCAAGGAATAATGGCAGACATTGTCCTACTTTTTAAGCCATTTAGTTTCTATTTCTGCCTTATCATGTCTTCTTTGTGATATTATAGACAGGACTATATAAGAGATTATGTAATTATATAAGAGATTACACAAGGGAACAAAAATCTCCGAGTTAGCAATGTGTTAATAAACAGCAGAGGCCCATGGTTCCTTATTTCCAGAATTTGCTTTCAGTGATGATTGTGAGATAGGAACTGTTTTTCCTTAGAGGATTCATGCTTTACTGGCAATTATTGGTTATTAGGTCTATAATATATATTGATTCTTTGATCAGCATGTGAAAAGCAAAGAATTGCTAGATGGCCTTGTTTTCTGGTAACTTGAAGGTATTGTATTGCATTCTCCGATTTGTCCATCACAGATTCCTTGGAAGGAATAGGAGGTGGGGAGTGTTCCGTTTCACACATGAAAATGCTGGGTTAACTGGTCTGTAGGTTACCTTGTAGATGAGGCTGTAGAGGACAGGAGTAGAAGTCACACGTCTTAAAACCTGCTCCCTGATTACTTCCATGGCTTAGAGAATAGTCTTTCATGAATAAGTAATTAACAAATCGCAGAAGATCAGCTTCTTTATTTTTAGTTGTTTCATGTTCCCATCAATATGTCCTCATTGTATTTTCAGATAGTGATGGATGAAGGTCAAAAAGTTGGCAGTTCCCTTCAAGGTGATCTGAACAGGGCAGGAAAGATCAAGGTAAGGCACAATTTAATTTTCTTGCATGGTAAAAAACCCATAACAAACAAACATCATAAGACTCGTTTGCTTTCTTTTATACAAAATTGGAGATTTCAGCAGATTTTTCCTTGCTAGTGTCTCTCTTTTCTCTCTCTCTCTCTCTCTCTGTCTCTGTGTGTGTGTGTGTTTTAACTGGTGTTTGAATATCTTAAACTATTCTTGCTTGGCTTGGTTCTGGATCTTTTTTCCTTAAAGCTTAACAAATAGAAGGGGTGCTTTGAGAGAGTAAAGTGTCCTTAATCTCCTTTAGCATATACCATCAAGAAAAATGACAACATAATATGATAGATACTCAAATTTTACTACTAAAACCATCATATGGCAGATACTTTTGGATGCCATGTAATAAACGCATTCATATTCTTATATGCAATGGAAGTTACCATTTTAAATTCCTATGGAGTAGCCGTGTCTGCTATTACAAGTAGAACTAAGAGGAGAAAGACAGCCTGCTTTTGAATTGCAATTCTGAAGTCTAAGTTTGTAATTTTAAAGTATTTTGTTAGGCCCATGTTTAGGTCGTGAGCACAAAAATGCATTGCGACCTTATGCTTTTACTACTTGTCATTTGTACCACTGGTGAAATCATCTTCTTATTTACACTCCTTGATATTCCCCTGAGATGAATTAGTTCATGTCTGAAATGTTACCATTTTGCTAATATAAAATGTCTCATTGTCAGCTTGCAGTGGAAAGCAGTATTCCAGGTGGAATAGTTTTTCATTGAAATGCTGCTATTGTGTCTGTAAAGGTCACTTGCTCTGCTTTTTCCCTTTGAAGTAATTTTCAGTTTTAATTGTTTGAAAGAGAGCACACTTGCTTTTTTGCCCTGCTCACCTCTCTTGTGATTTACCTGGGGCAGGATGATTTTGTTTGGAATGAACTTTTCTCTCCTGCTTTCTTTCTTTTCTTCTCTCTGGCTCTTCAACATTAAAAGGAAGTCGACTGTTATGTTAATAGCCAGATCCTCACCACCATCATTTGCTCAAGAAGCAATACAACAAAAACAAAAAACAGAAACCCTGTTTAGGACTGTCTTGGTGGTAGTATATATCCTGGGAGAGGATGTGGGACAAAGTCTCTTTTCAAAAACTCCCAACCTCTTTTTTTTTTCCCCTTTCAGCATAGAGAGCTGACTATGGTGCTTGCAAAATCCAGGCCAGCATCCAAATTTACTGCTTTTTTTCAGATGGGAAAGCACATGAACACAAAGGGTTTGAGCTGGGAGTTAGAATTGATGAGAAAAGTAGTTTCTACTGCTCAGTTGAGTGTTATGGAAGTGGATTCATTGACTTCATGGCATTTTTTTTTCTTCAAGTCTAATATGCATAAAATAATGTTAATCCTTTTCTAGGTAGACAACTTCCTAGATTTAGAAGATTTTGATATGGATGAAGAGATTGAGCCCCAAATGAGCAAGGGTATGCTTTCTATTTTTTTTCATACTGCTAACTACTTTACAAGTAAAAAAGTACAAGTAAGGCTTTAGACAGCTTTCTTTCTTTCTTTCTTTTTTAAACAATCCTTACCTCTACCTCCTATGAAACAGGAAAAACTGAAGCTGTGGAAATTTCTGTTTCAAAAACAAATGTTTCTCCAGCTGGATCAAAGCCTTTGGAGGATTGTAAACCTTTGGTCTTAAGTGAAATGAAGCTGCCCTCTGTCCCTACAATTTACCACATGATTGATTCTTGAGTGATTATTTCAAGTAGAGATAAGTCATAAAGTCATCTCTGTATTTCTCAGAAACACAGTGTTGTAAATGGAGATTATTTTTGAGAATAAGAAATAATGATCGCTCATAAAGTTCATAAATATATCAGAAATGATCATAAATATAAACTAAAAGAAAATCCACATTTTTGTTTTTAAAAACTCTCCATTAAATATGTAAATTACTGAAGATACAGACATGTTGCAAATGTTTTTTTGTGGGCATTTTTGCAATGGGCTGGACTGGAAGGGGCTTCATGTTAGGCCATTGGTGTTTAAATGCATGATGGGTTTTTTTCCTTTGCCAGTTAATATCTCTGGGTAAGCATAGGTATCCTTTGTTGATCAAAAGATCTTTGAAATATATTCAAAATTAGGTTTTTTTTTTTTTTTTAAACATCCATTCCTCATGTAATATGCAAGAATGTCTCAAAAGTCAAGGTTAAACTTTAAGGACAGGTCAGTTGACTTAACTGATGTTTACAGTCTTTGGGTGGATTATGGTCATTGTTGGGGGAAGGGTGGGGTTTAAAATTTTTTTTTTAGTTGTTGATGGATCTTTATTTTATTAATTTATTTATATGTGGTGCTGAGAATCCACAACCCCAGCCCAGAAGTTTGGTTTTTTAAATACTTAATTGGGAGTTAAAGTGACTGGGTAGAATTGGCTTGGGAATGGCAACTATCTGTAAATTGGTTGTCAATTCCTCACTCTGGCTTTGGGTGTTTGAATTGGTGAGACTTTGGTAATTAGAAGCAATCAGCACTTTTATTCCACTTCCAAACATCACACTACTCCACCAAAGAGTTGGTTCTCAGGCACTGTATTAACCAGTAGACTCTGATTTTAAGTTATTTATTTGATTTAAGTGTGGTCAGAGATCTAAAGGAATCACATCTTCCACGGAGGCTTCTCCAGCTCTATATCCTGGATGGCTCTGAATTGCTGTGGGAAGTATGGGGGCTCCTGCTGGACTAGAAGGGAGAGGTAAGCACTGTTACGAAGCAGTGCTTAGAGCAAGCACACTGTTTTGGGTTTGGGGTGACTAGGAGAAGGAAGCAAGGTAAGAAATGCAGATTCCTAGGTCTTGCTCCTAAGAGTCTAATTCAGAAGCTCTGCAGTGATATCTGGTGATCTGCATTCAGAACCCACACTCCATGCAATTGCATATGGTTAGTTTGAAGATGACACTTGAAGACAGTTCTAATCTGCCTGTAATACATTTGCTATGTAAAATCAGTTTTATAGGAGAACACAGATGTGTCTACTTTGCACATTTTTGTGGTGGTTTAAATTTATCATTTCCTTCCAGCAAAGATAAGGTCTGTATATTGACATAAACCAATATAGCCAGCAATTCCAATTTAATCTTTTAAATTAGCCTTTTAACCTTTTCCTTTTATTGTTGCATCTTTTTCTTTACACATTTTCAAGTTGCATCTTTTAATTACCAGATTTATTCCTTTCTTCATAAAATGAAATATAAACATCTCACTAGTATGATTTTTCCAGAAAGCAGATAATAGGCAGTCTTGCATTTGTATATAAAGGTTACTGAAGCTAAACCAAGTCTCAGTGGACTTGAACAAACTGGTCAAGACCCTCCCACATGTAAAATAATGTACAAAGCCCCTGCTGAAAATCGATCCAGGCTTCAATGATTTATTCTAATTACCCAAAAGACTACCAGGTCATCACAATTTTCATACAATCTGGGTCACTTGAAAGGAAAAAAAGAAATTAAATAGTTTGTGCCAAGGTGAATTTTAGTTTGGGCCTAATTTGTATTACACTTCAGGAATGTGAGCAGAAGGCAAATATTTATATCAGATGGGAAATGTGACATTTTAAATAGGCAAGTTGCTTGTATAATTTTGGCAGCTGGGAAGTTTACTGATTAGATTCTGTTGTTATTGTTAAGCAACAGACTTGCCTGGGGCAACAAGAAAGTGAGTTGCATATTGTTTTTCTACCATTGATTTTATTTGTTCACCTTATTCATTCTCATAAATATTCTCTAAGATTCAGGAAGGAGATTCTTTCTCAATATTTGAATTAGCATTTTGGCAGCCCAGGTGGAGAGAGTGGAGACAGTTTTTCAGAGGAACCAACTTTGTGCAGTGGTATTGAGCAGTTGTTTGAGGGTGACATTTGCCAGGATGCTAGGTGCCCTGTGTTTATTTGACATCAAGTTAACCAGTTTTTCTCCTTCAAATTTAAGGTAAGGTAGTTAGCCTGGTGACTGTCATGCCTCAGATACAATAGCTCAAACTGTTCTCCAGCAAAATTATAATTTGGAATAGCTGTTAGTTGTTATGCTGAGGCCATTAAAGTAGGAAGACTCTTCTGTTCATTGTTATGATTATGATTATTTTTGCCTCTGTAGTTGATTCTACCTCTTTTCTGGCTGAGGGCAGATGGCTCAAGAGATTATTTTTTTGAGGGCCAGTTGTCAAAATCATGCTTTCTTCTATAGGTCTCTTGGCCAGTGGGTGGATTTATATGGTGGCTAATTGTGTGGAATGAAACAGGCACTGATTACTGCTCAGTCATTGGCAGTAATTTTTTATTTTTAAGTTCTCTAGTACTTCTAATCATTTTTAGTCAATAAAGGGTGAGTACATACAATTTTAAAAAATTCCTTAGTTATCTGCAACTTTAACTGAAAAGGTCGGGCGAACATCGGAGGAATAGACCACCAAGAGACTGTCTCATGCAACAGCAAAGGGTTTATTGGGGGTCCAGCATGCTGGGGCTCAGAGCTCGCTTTGGAGGAGTGGAGAGCCAAGAGCCCCGAGAACAGCTTGAGCAGAGCTTATATACATTCTTTGGAAAGGGCAGGGACCTCATATACAGCATAACAAATCATCACACACCGCGGGAAAATCAAACAACAACTCTTAACTATGATTAGTGCATTCATTGGCGGGAACAAGTCGGGTAGGGGTGATTGGTCAGCACAAAGAAGGGTATACATTCGAACTGATTGGCTTAAGTCCTGAGATGTGTACGTGCTGGACTGCACGGTTTCTTTCCGAGAGGGTGGGTTGTTTTTACAGAACAGCCAGATGGTCAGGGGAGATTTCAACATACATTCCAGTGGCTTTTCCGGGAGTTGTTTTTAACTGCCACATGAATTTTAGGTTCCAAATGCAACTTAACAGAACTTAAAAACTTTTCAGAACTTGAAACAAATCTTATCCTTTACATTTCAATTTCTTTAACCTTTCATAATCAATTTTGGGCAACCTACGAATGACCAGGATTCTTATTCAACAAATATTTAAGAAGTACAGCTGGTCCGGAACATAATGAAGAATGAAAGATAACAGATTCCCGCCCTTATAATTCACAATTCATTGGAAGAATTAGGCACTTATCATGTAATCACAAATATATGATTATAGATTGTTCTAGATCTCATGAAAGCATAGGGCAGGGGAACTTTAGTTTGTCTAAGGTATCAGAAAAAGCTCTCTGAAAGCCTAAGATCCAAAGGATGAGTAACCGTGAACTAGATATGTAGGTAGGTGAGGGTAGGAGAGAGAGGAAAGTGTAGGAGCAGCATGTGTAGAGGTCCTAAGCTAGGAGAAAAGGGCACATTTCAGCCAACTTAAAATTTAGACATTTTATTTTTTTATTTAGAACTGTTAGAGATCATTCTTTCATGGCCTTTCATTCTTTCATGTTAGAGAACATTCTCTGATGGCTGGTCCTGTATTGGAGAATCTGCCTTAGTGGTCTGATGTCTGTTCCAGGCATCAGCATTTGGAAAGCTCCCCAAGTGATTCTAAGGTGCAGTAACAGCAGGGAATCATCTCTAGATGGGAGTCTGGGGGTGTTTCTCTTGGAGTCCCCATTTATGGAATGTGGGGGTATGAAGCTACACCTGGGTGCCAGCTGTGCAGACCTTCTCTTAGTGGGGAGTAATCAAATGTCTAGGCTTGAAAGGAAGGCCTGCTAACAGAGCCCAATTTTAACTGTAGACAAGCCCAGTTTTCAAAATCAGCTCTGCCAGTAAGTTAGAAAGTTCATACTTTGATTTTTATTATTCTAACTCCTGCATACATTTATCTTTGTACTTGTACGATAGATGGTTATGATTTACTATTGCTGTCAAATGCCCCATTCATGAAGTAAGTCTTCCCTATTTTTCCCTAACTTCTACTTGGATGAGCAGTAATTTTCTTCTGCACTTCTACTTTCCTTTGTTCTGTATCTTTTTTTTTTCCTTTGCAAAGTGTGTTTTAGGTTGCTTGTAAGCAGCATAAGGTTTATATAAATGCATTTATGTAAACACACATATATACATATACACATATATTTTAAATCTATATTTAATCAGAATGTGTTAGTTCACTTATATTTAATGTAGTGAAATTATTTAGATTTAAATCTATTATCTTGCTATTGGGAAACTTGCCTTGCAATGTGGGAACTGTTGGGAAACCCTGAGATCTATAGGTCAACTGTGTTGATAGTTGCACTGATGTTGCAAAAGCACTGATTGGTGGAGAAGCTGGTACCTTAATGTCAGTTAAGGTAGTTGCATCAAAACATACTAGTAGTTATAAATAATTTGTTATAAATTTATAGTCAAAACAAATGCCAATTTCCATTGAAAATTCCCTTGATGAAGTAGTAAAAATTCCTCTTTTTTCTAAATCTTGGTTCTCTGAAAGCCTGAGATGATTTGTAATGATTTATGTGCTGAAATAGCAAATTCCCACAAAGCACTTCTGCTGCAAATGGAGATACACTGGTTGTCGTATAGAAAAATACAAGTGATTAAGTGGTATGCTAAACTAGTTTTTCCCTTTCATGAATCACCATTTTTAAAGAATGACTGACACACAAACTATAGTTCTGCAAAATGAGTGATGTGAGTCTGTCTCTTCAAGGAAAGCAACTGATAGTATTCATTGCTAATGACAAAATTGGCAATAGATCAAGTGAAATTAAAATTTTAGAAAACTTATATCCAGTACTGTGAGCTTGATGGCTTCTCAATATTTGAAAGCTTTTTTGGTAAAAATGCTGATATAAACTAATGTGATTTTTATTCTGCATAATGAAGTATGTCAACATTTGGAAGATCTGCATAACACAGTGAATCAATATTTTCCAAGTAAGCAATTCATGATGTTACAAAATTTTACATAGAGGAAATAACCATCAGCTTGTGAGATAGACCAATGGATTTTAATGACCAATGTGAAAAATTTAACAATATGGTTTCAGATTTTTTTTGCCAAAACTAACCTTTAAAAAAACTCTATCATTTGTCACCTTCTGGTGTAGTAATAAAAAATATTCATAATCATATAAAAAAGACAAGATAATTTTTCCCTTTCCAACTACTCATCAGTGTAAGAGTAGATCTTCGTTTACTTTAACTGAAACAGGATATTTTAAAAATTGAAGAAACAAATATAGAATTCAGCTTTCTTCCTTAAGCCAAACATTAAATAGATTTGAAAAAAAAATAACACTTGTCACTATTTTCTTTGTTTTGGGAAAATATGTTTTTCATGAAAATATTTGAATATGTAAATAGGATTAATTTTAATGATTCATTAAATAGTATTGGAATGTTTGTGAGCTTTAAAGTAGTATTCTGATTAAATATAGATTTAGAATATATGTGTATATATAACCCATATATACAAAAGCTCTTCGGGATCTTAAATAATTTTTAAGAACCACTGAAGTAGACTTTCCTAGCTGGCAGCTATGTGTTGAGGGATGGCTAATGCATTTCTTAAACATATTCCTTTTGGATGTAGAAGTCTGAACTTTCAGGAACTATCAGCTATTTTACATGGTAACTGTTACAGTTTGGATATGAAGTGTCCCCCAAAGATTCATATATTGATATATTCATATATTGCAACAATGCTCAGGGTGCAATTTTAGCGAATTGATGGGATCCTGAGGGCTCTGACTTCATCGGTGGATTAATCAATCTTCAGATAGCTCAATGGACTGCTGGGATGGGGTAGAAGCTGTAGGCAGGTGGGCATGTTGGGGGAAGCAGGCCATGGGGTGTACCCTTGAGGACTATGTTTTATCGCCAGTCCTTCTTTTGTTCTCTTCTCTGCTTCCTGGCTGCCATCAGTTGGGCAGATTTTCTCTGCTAGGGCCTTTTGCAGTGATGTTCTGCCTCACTTTGGGTCCAAAGCAGAACTGACCAGGCCCTGAAACCTCTGGAACCAGGAGCCAGAATAAATCTTTCCTCCTCAAAGTAGTTTTCCTCAGATGTTTGCCATAGTGATGAAGAGTTAACATTAGTAGCAAATGAACAGATTGGTTAATTTTATAAATATGCTGGGCAGATTAAATGTTATTGCAGTCTGAATTAGATTGGTGAGTTTTTAATATATCAGATTACATGGATAATAACCTTTGACTTGCTGATCATTGACTAAAATCAATAGACAAATGACATGAATAGATAGTTCATAAATATTAGAAATTCTTCAGTCTGCCCACCAAATTCTTCATTCTTAAGATGAGATTAAAATGTTCCAATCAGTCTTGCCATTCATTTCTGGAAGTTGCCCTGTGGCTCATATCAGCCAAAACAGTGACATTTAGTTAGGATAAAAATGAGGCTTTGGATGTTTTAGAGATAATAGTTAGGATTGGGTTAAGTCTCTTAAAACACTTCAGTTTTAGAAAGTTTTACAAGGAATTTCAGAAATCCTATTCACCACCATCAGTGAATACAATAATTTTTCTTCCTGAGAGAATATGGGCTTGTGCATAAATAACATACCTACAATTGTAAAATGGCTACAAGACTGCAGCTTTCTTCGTAACATGTACCCTGCTGGGCTGTTTTTGTTCATGTCATTTTACCCTTTTGTAAATCTGTCATCTTCAGAGTTAGAGACATTCAATTTTGTTCTTGATTATTCTGACTGATTTTAAATGTGAAAGAATTATCTTGTAATAATCTTTCATTTTTGAGGGAAAATCTACAAAATCCTATTGGCAGGTCGACTCTTGATCCTTTCTGTTCAGTTTAAAAGCTGATCCATAGGGAATTCATCTCCTGTCTCCAGGTATTGGTTGTGAATTCACTACGCAGAAGGTACTGTGTTAGGCACCAATAGATATGCATTGGTGCATTTCCCTTTACACTGAAGAAACGAATGACAGAAATTTAACATGTGGAGCATACAGTCTTGTTGTTTTGAAAGAATTGTTCCCATGGCAGTAGAACTGTTGTGAAACAAATTTTGTTGAAAATCCTACCTTCTTGCAAATAGATTGGGGAAGTGAAGAGTTTTAGTAAAGCGAGTACAGCCGTGTCCTCCTCACAGCACTGTTTGTCATTCAGAACAGTGATCTTAAATAGCCTTGGAAACACGATTGATTTTGATTTCACATTTGAACTGGTGCTGCACTGGCAGCTAATGGTTCCAGGAGATATTGGTTTTCACATTAAGAGATCTGGACTTTCTCTTTCTTGTCTTGTTGTGGCAGGCCCTACCCAGGCTTGGATCAGTCCTAGGCCACTCCACAAGGAGCTCAGTGAGGGAATTTAGCTCTTAACTCATAAACAGGTACCTTACAGTGCCAGTCTGTCAGCCAGCCATATTGGATTTAAACGTTACTTCTCTGTGTATCTTGTATATAACCAAGATAATGTGCTACAGTAGTGACATTTCTTGACCCTGAGTTTAAGTGTATAATTTGATCAAGTTAAATAAAACATGTAATGAAAATGCTTATTTTTAGAAGTTCATGATTGACATCATGGGCTAAAATATGAGCCCGTGGATAGACTGCTTGGCTGTGCTCTTTGTTGCTGTGGAATCTCGAGTAAGGTTATTCAGTGCTCAGAGCTCATTGATTGCAATACAGGAAATAACAGCAATTGGGAGGATTAGCTGTATTAATGCATATAAAGTGCTGGGCATGTAAGTGTTGGCTGGTATCATTGTTTTTATTTCTGCTAATGAGTGAGATCATATTCTAAGATTTCAAAAACTGATCATAGCAGAGCTACCCTTGTCACCATCTCCCCACTGCAATTCTCAGTTTCCAGACTATGTCCCAAGAATTTATGAGGATATTTTTGTGAGGGTGATATCTACTGTGGTGAGAGATGCATTTCAAATATTAATTTCAGTTTTTGAGGATCAGTACCTGCTCAGTTATCTCCTTATATGTGCTGCCATTGGCAACAGCCAAGGCAAGCCTGTTGGTAATTAATCAGTTCCACTGAGAACTTAATTAGCAGCTTCATTAGGATCATCCTCGAGTAGCAAGCAGCAGAATCCTGAGCCAGCTGCAAATTCCTGGCTAGCTCTGGCTAGCCCCTCTGGCCTGATGGAAATTCAGACTGAGGAAGAAACCTGTTGTGCTTCGATTTGTTTGTCTTCCTTCAAGAAGGCTGTGGAATATCACTGGTTGTCTGTGATGTATTCATGAACTATGTGAAGATAAGGGAACATATCCATTTATAATGAATTGGCCAGAAAACCAAGATTGGTTATTGAATTCTTGTGTTTGGGCTGAGCAAGCAGGAAACAGGTTGTTGTTTGCGAGTGTTGAAAATGAGACCATGCATTTTGAATATGATAGAGTACTTCATTTTTCTGCTGAAAGTTTAAAGTACTTCCCTTCTAGCATCATTGTTTTGTAATATATATACATATATATATATATTTGAAATATTGCTGTATTGTTACAGGATGAAATCAACACTCCATTTTCTTTTTCTTTACCCCTAAGGAAAATATGGGAAAATGAGACAAAAGTAGCATCTTCCTTGTTTTCCTGTAGAAGTAGAAATTGGGCTAGGAGTGAAAGGCACAGTCAAGGTACTCCAGAACCAGCATTTCTGCCAAACCCTTTGGATGGATTGTAACTTTGCAACAGTAACATAAAAATAAATACATCAGCATCCTATTTTACAGAAAGGGTATCCCTGGAGTCAGTTTCTCAAATGAAATGGGCCTGTTTTGCATGGGCATGTCTAACTCACTTTTTTGACTCTTCTAAGGTTTTTAGATGACTTAGGTAAATTATGGACTTTGCAGAGATCAATTGAAACCTTTGTATCCAACAGATTTCCTGCTGCTTCCAGGACAAGTGGAAGAGGATGTGAGCACCAGTGTTTGTTCTTTCATTCCTTCTGTGGACAAGCCTCTCGCTGCTGAGGGGAAGCCAAAGCCCACTGTTAAGGGAACAGAGAAGCAAGCAGAGGAGGTACTGCACAGGGAATTCATTTCAATACAGCCTGGATTTTGTAATTTGTCCTTTTTATACCCATGTGCTTTTGTATTTTTCTCAGGTTTGGGAAAATTTAGAATTGAAGTAGTTTAATTGATCTCTCTCACTTTTATATATCTCTAATGTGTATATTTCTTTTTAAACCCATAGAACACTTTTGTTTTTATGTGGAAACTATTTTTGTTTAATGCTGTATGCAAGGCTATAGAACAGTACCACCTAGGGATCACGCATTAGAAGGAACAGATAATTTCTTATCTCTGTTAGTCTGAACTGGCCATGTTTCTTATTATCATTATTTCTAAGGTACTGTGAACCTTTTGTATTAGTTAAGGTCAGGTTAGGCTGCTATCACAGAGAATCCCAATAATAATTTAATGGGAAGTAGAAGTTTATTTCTCTCATTTGACAGTCTGTAGAGGCTCTTAAAGTAACCAGGTGGCATCGTCAAGGACCCAGTTTCTTTCTCTCTGGATGTCCACTACCCCTTGGGAAAATGTCCTCTTCTGCATGTCCTCCTCTGAATCAGGTCACCTTTATAAATGCAGGGGCAGGAGATGGGAGCTTGGGAGCAAGGCTGAGGACCCAGGGCCCTTCGTTGCTGCTCACATTCCTTTGTCAAACACTTAGTTGCATCTTCATGTCTAGCCACCGAGGAGCCTGGGAAATGTCATCTAAACATATGCATCAAACACAGGGAAGAATCGAATCTCTGCTCTACATTTACTTTCCCAAATGTAAAACTTGGAGGTCATCTTTTGCTATTATTTTGTGACTCTTCTATGCATTTAGCAAATGTGCAGCAGTAGAAGTTGATGATGGTGCAGGGAAGTGACCTTTCTCACCCTTCTTGCTCTAAGGTAAAGGGAATTAGGCACAAGACCTTGCTAAGGGCTCTTCATTGTTATTTTCTAATAAAACCCCTAGGACAACTCTTGATTATTTTAATTGTTCAGGTACTTGTCACTAGAAGACATTCTGTTATTGAATTACTCATTCCATTAGAAATAATCCACACATTTCAGTTTTAGATTGCTCTTTTAATCATAGTATTTTTGTTCACTGACATCACAAAAGTATACCCCAGGATGCTTGAAGGCTTATATTAAACTCCCAAATTGGTTACCAGAGAAATCGATTGGGACAGCCACTTTTCAATATGCTTTTTGAATTACAGATTGCTTTCTCTGAGTTGTAAGGAGCTAAAATTGCAAGGTTATTTCTAGCAGAAACCTGTTTCTTTTGAAGACCCGTTTATGTTCTTGACTTCAGTTGCAACTATACAAGTTATTAGACTGGCTAGTGGACATGGAACCTGATACTTTATAAGAATTTGATTATACCTAGGTGCAATTATAGAATATACATATTGTAGGACTATTATAAAAGTTGTCATAAAGTGTTTTCAGTTAATGGGTTAAAAAAGCTTAATGTTCTCTGAGATCTATCCAATAGCCAGTGAAATACAAATTAAAACTGTCTAAATGTATTTTAAACCTGAATATAAATTTCTAATTTTACAGAAAATATAAACATTTTTTAACATTGGAATCAAAATGATATGAAAAGTTTTTGTGTTGGCAAACTTCTCAGCCATGAATGAATGACTTTTGGTATCTTTTGAATATCCAGACTAATATTTTGGTTGGAATTTTTATTACTAATCATTACTTTTTTGAGACGCTTTCCACAACTGTCTAGATTCACAATATTACACCATCTGTTTCTTGGTTTAATAGCATTAATCTTATTTTAAAGCATCTAATGTCAGTAAAAGAACATAATCATTAGTTTCCAGAAATATGTCTTGTAAGGGCCTACCAGAAGGCCATTTGGGGGCTGGAAATGGTACTTGCTTTCTGTGACTTCAGTCTGCAAAGATGAACATTTGTCCTGAATGTCCTGCCTTCCTCTTACTTGCCTATTAAGAGCCCATCAACTTTCTGATATGGATTGGGTCTTTTTAAAAATTTCCCCTTTTTTATTATGGTTTTATACGCATGTATTTTCCTCTTAGAGTTCAACATTTTCCAAGAACTTTCCTCTTCTTATTTGTAAATAACTTCTTGCCGTGGTTGCTCTATTTTGAGGAATCTTGGAAGTTTTGAATACCTTTATAGAGCAAAATGAATTCACATTGGAAAGAGGAAAAACTATAGAAGCCATAGAAGAAGTCACAGAAGAAACTTGAGCTGTGTTTTAGTAGGAGATCTCCTATTTTGCCAACTGTGAAGAGAGTTTATTTACCATATTATTTTGTACACTTGCCTACAGCTAAATGCTGCCATTATTGACTTGAGCATTAGTTCTGTTTTCTTTAATTTGCCTATGTGGTACTATGAATGAAAATGTGTCTAACAGTGTCTCTGTTAGAATAAGTCACATGAGTAATTTAAAGGAAACTTGGGGTTTTCTAATAGTGCACAAATTCTATTTTCTGAGAGGCTACAAAAAGATTTCAATTAGATTTGAAATTAGACATCTGAAATCCACACATTCCTCTCAGCTCCTTGGGCAAAAATAACAAGTTAATAACTTAATTCACAAGGTTTTTTTTTTTGTTTGTTTGTTTAGCAGCAGGGGAGTTAGTGTTCTACTGAACAAATTCTTCTTTGAAATAAATCAGAATTTCTGTTTGGAATTGAAGACCTTGGAGTCTTAATAGTTTAGAACCCTAAAATGAACCCAGCTTAGAAGAAGAGAATTCTTGGAGTGCACTTCAGCACCCACAAGTTGAAACACAGAAATAGAAATCCAACCTTGGTGTATTTTAAAAGCTATCACTTGGGAGGTCACAGTGATGTTTTCTGAACTGCAGTCCTCCTTTGAATCACATATGTGTCCCTTGTCTTGGAGGAGTGTAAATTCACTCAAGCATGTCTTCATAGGTTTATTAAATTCAAATGCAAAAGGTCAGAATGAGTGTTGATCTTGGTACCATACAAGACAGGCAATAAATATTTATGGAGTGAACAAATAACATGGTTGGGGTCATTTTCTCCTTTCTTCTCTCTCGATTCATCCCCTTCAACTTGCAAACGTGTTCAAATCTCTCTCATCCTCAACAAACCGGAACAGAACAAGGAAAAGCAACCTTCCCTTCCCCTTGGACCTCTCTTTGGTTACTGTGTATTTATATTTGTTTTCTCTCTCCCTCTCTCTCTTCTTCTGTCCCCACCCCCACAATTTCAGAAGCATTAGGTTCTACTGGTTGATCTTTCTTCCTTTCCACTCATTCAGTATGGTGCACAATGTGCTTGATCTCCATCACCTGCCTGGATGTTATCAGAATGGAGAAACCAATTACTTCACAATGATCCCATTGAGTGGACACTTGTAATCTTTATTTTAATGGATCTCTATACTGTGACACCACTGATCTTCCCCTGATGCTCCTGTTTCACTCGTTCTTACTTCCTTGTTCTCTGACTGTGTACTTCTCTGATTGTTCTTCTCTGACTCCTTTGGGTTTTTTTCCCCATCCATCCTTAATGAATTGGTGTTCCCCAGGGTTCCTGCTTAGTGTGGTTTTTCCTACGCTACATACTTGGGTGCATTTTCATATTAAATCACTACCTGTTATGTTTCCAAATCAGTATCTCTAGCTTTAGGCCTTTTTCTCCTGAGCCTTAGGTTTGTATATTTAAGTGATCTCTATCTGGCTTCTTTCAGGTACCTTGAGTTCAACATGTTAACCACTGAACTCATCTTTACCTGCTTCCCTTCCTGTACTCTTCTCCCTTCAGCCATTTCCATATCTAGTCAGTCATTAAGCACTGCTAATTTTACTTTCTAAGTATTTTTTCGATCTTTGCTACCCTTGCCCTGTTCTCATTATTTCTTGCCTGGATGGCTTCAGCAGGATCTCAGTAGCCTTCCATCTCATGCCCCTCAGATCTACCCTCTGTTTAACCTTCACAGTGAGCTGTGTTGATACAATCTCCAAGAAGGTAGGGCATCTTTCTTTTTTGTACTCCAGCTCCTATTTTATTGTGGGCACTCAGTAGACAGTTGAATAAATGAAGGAGTTTAGCTGAAATGCATAGAGGACCAAGTGTCTGCCCTGTTTTAAAAAGAAAATCCTTCGGGGACTTTCCATCTTCTCTATGATGACTTGGCATTACTGCCATCTCTTGCCACTTTTTTACAGCTTATAGTGTGACAATGCTGAACTCCTTTCAGATGCAGGAATGTGCAATTCTGCATCTTATTTTTAATCCTGCATCACATTTCCCCTGCAAAGCTGTTTCCTCTCAGCCTTGTTACCTTGTACACCCCTTCTAGCAGTCTCAGCTTCCTTTCCAACCCCCTCCAACCTGGTCTGGGGAAGTGGCCATTCTCTGTCTCCGTCACCTCTTATTTATACCATTTGTGCTTTCCACATTTTATTATAGTGATTGTTTATGTATTTATCTCATTTGTCTGTGATTTCATGCAAGTCTTCATATTTGTAATCTCAGCACCTTACACAGTGCCTAGAATTTAAAGGAACAGAGTTTGTGGAAAGAATGGAAAATAGCTGAATGATTGCAAGAGACCATTCCTCGAACATTTTGACTCTGGGGTAAACTGGCCATGTGGAATTATATCCCCTAAATGGTTTAAAATATCTGGAGTATCATATTTGGCCTTTGCAAATGTGAAATTATTATATCTTTGGTTTCTTGCCTTTCTATTTCAGCATTTAACAGACTACCCAGGAAAATAATTTAACAATATCAGTTGTTAAAAATTCTTAGTTTATAAGAAATTATATATTTAAGTATCTTTTTTATACCCAAAAGTTTATTATAAATGAATAATCTTCACACTGGCATTTTAAAAATGAGTTTATAGCCTGGCATAATGGCGCATGCCTGTAATCTCAGTGGCTTGGGAGGCTAAGCTAAGGCAGGAGTATCACAAGTTCAAGCTAGTCAATGGCAGCTCTTGCCATTACTTTTGTCAAGAAAGCATGCGGGTACTTTCTAATAAAAAGGAAATGACTCAGCCAATGGAATTTGTTCTCTTGTTGCTTTACTAAGAAAGGATGGTAAATGGCTGGTTGTTTGCTCTTAGCACTGCATACCTAACTACAAAACATGCCAAACAGATAGCAGAAATCTACTTTTTTTGATTTCTTTTTCACCTGGGGTAGCAGTGTATAGTTTCTGAGCAGTATGCTCCATTTTTACAAACACTGCAAAAGCTACTCAATGAAATCATCTTCCATGCAAGAATATTTAAAGCAGACTATAGTTTCAGGATATATATTTTTTTCATTCTTGCATGAACCATAGTGTTCAGTAGCACTGTACATATAGAGTTAGATAGAGGTGCAGGTTGATTTCATTGTATCACATACATCATTTGGAGGTTTTTTTAGGGTATGATATAATGAGATGTAGGCATTCTTTTTCTGTTTATTAGAAAATATGCTTTGTATTTATTTTCCTTTAGAAAATCTTAAAGACTCACAAGTTTTGAATAAATAGATAAAATTTGTTTTATCTCTTTGCAGCTTCTCTGACTTTACATAAACTGTTATTTTTTTTTTTAATTATTGGTAGAAAAAATGGGATTCTGAGCTTTTCAATTTAAGATAATGCTGTGTGTTTTCATAGCTATTGTTATTAGCTAGGTATTATGGGTATTATCTGAAGAATGATAATAAGGGTAGTCTGTTTTTATCTTTGAAAATTGTGTCTTATTAATATGGGTCTTTTTAGTAAACGGTGAAAATGTACTTAAGGTTGGTCTAATCTTAAGGCATATTTTCTCGCATTTTAATGTGACTCCTGTTTTTCCCACGTGTGTCTCTATCCCTGTCACTACAAATGGTAAAAAATGTAATGAATGTGTGCTGGGGAGACTTTCTGATTCTTGCCTTGGGCAGAATTAGTTAATGATATTCATTCAGATACAGCATGGTACAAATGGGGCATATTAAGAGTCCTAAATTAAGTATCCTGAATAATTGAATTTATTTCTTTACTTAAAAACAGCTTAATTAGATGAGAATGTTGATGTCTAAAAAATGTTTAATTAATTATTAGTAGGGAGTTTGTATTTTCACTTTATCTTCATTTACAATAATTATATTATTAATGTTTTTTCTTCCTTTGTTACCTTTATAGATATTTGGTGATGAAGTCCAGCCCTTCTCACTTGATGAAGAATTTGATTATGACAACGTGGCTCTAACCCCCAAGTTCACTGCTGCGGAGATGGAGACCATCAGAGAGCTGTTGAAGCAAGAGAGAAAGAACACCAACGCAGACCTATGACTGATTTACCAAAGCATCTCTGTTTTTTTTGTTTTGTTTTTAGTTCTTCAAGCAGTATCAGAGTAAATGATAAGCTAGCCATAATTCCCTTTGTGGAAATCTTTACGTGTGCCTTCATTTTTCAGAGTTATCTGTCAGTTAGGAGAGAGGGCAACTGACCAGAGAGCTGAGGAGGTGGCCTTGTCCTGTCATATTGTTGCACCCTGTGACTCCTGGGGATGGAGAGGGAAATGGGGACAGGAAGTAAGAATTACCTAAGGGATTATTGATGAGAGCACAGCACAGGGTGCTGCACAAGGGTTAAAGTGAAAAGTGCAGACAGGAGAGCTCCTTTCTGGGTGAAGGACAGTCACACCTGGGAAACATGTTGTAATACATAGAGGAAAAGTGCTCACAGAGGTCAGAGATGGTGGCATCAGTGTGTGCGTTGAGAGAGCTAGCTTCTGGAATTGATTGGGCTTCGCAGAAAAAGAAGGCTTCTGAGAATTGATTATATGTCATATATAGAATTCTCCAATTTGTTATTAGTGTTAAACCATGTGTGATAGTTACAAAGTACAAGGAATTATTTCTGTATCCAGAATCTTTTAAATTTGAAAAGGCAAGACAACTAGAGAATGTTGGAACATTGGAATGCAAATTACGCAGACCACCCACCAATGCATCAAGGAAAAGAGGGGTGAAGACCCAGAACAAGGAGGAATAATATGCATGAAGTAATTTTTAATGTTGAAGGAATCGGTAACAAATCAAATGTAATTAGTCTTTATTGGTTTTCTTGCCTCTTTTAAATAGATTTTGTCTTTTAAAGTAGTTTTAGGTTTACAGCAAAATTGAGGAAGAAATTAAGAGCATTCCCATATTATTCCCTGCCTGCTCCCTCCCTGACTATCAGCATCCCACACCACTGAGTACATGAGTACATTTGTTTTGTTTTGATCTGATTTTTTTTCCTATTGCTTTTCTTCTCTTTTTTCCCTTGTGATAAGAACACTTAACATGAGATCTACTCTCTTAAAATTTTAGGTACACGATATTGTGAAAGCCAATCCTATACAGTGGGTGTCTAGAACTTACTTATTCATGTGTAACTAGAGGTTTATATGATGGAATAGCATCTCCCTGTTTTCCCTCCCTGAGTCCCTGGTGGCCTCCACACCACCCTCTGCTCCTGTGGTTGATATCAGAGGGTGTGTCATATTTGTCCTTTGGTGGCTAGCTTATTTCACTCTGCACAAAGTCCTTCAGGTTCTTTCAGGTTCTTCCGTGTGGCCACACCTGGCAGGGTTTCCTTCTTTTTCTAAGGCTGGAGGTTTAGTTTAGTTTCCCAAGATGAGTGTGTATCACATCTTCTTTAATCATCAGACAGTGGTCATGTAAGTTGTTCCCATGTCTTGGTTGTTGTGACGAATGCTGCAGGGGTGTGTCTGTATGAAGAATTGTATGTGAGTGTGCAGAGATACTCATAAAAATGTCATTTATATTCTTGCTTTCAGTGTTGTGTTGTGGTAGAGTCAAGTGATTTACACCTTTGTTTATTGAACAAACTTTCATAAAACACCATTATGTCTCAAATCTCATTCACATTAGAATGGGAAGATACGAGTAAATTAGACATGGTCTAATGTCATGGGGAAGGGAGATGAAGACACAGGTAATTACAGGAGAGCAGAATTATCCCACAGAATAATCACTGGCTGCATTCTAGAGCACTTGAAATGTAGCCACTGTGACTGAGGAACTGGTTTTTAAATGCTGCTTGATTTTTATTTCAACTGAAAATTAAAAAAACACCTAATATTTGGTATAGATAACAGAAAACTTTCAAGTATATTTAGAACAACTTGGCCACATGAATATGAATTTTTCAACCGTAAATTTTGTTAAATCTAAATATAGATCAGTTAGTTTTGATGACAGGTCAGTGTCTGGATTTAAAATATGCTCTAAGTGTATAACACATATTGGATTTCAAATAATTGATATGAAAAATTGTTATTTTTTGGTATTGATTATATTTTGGAAAGGTATTCTTTTGTACTCAAATTCACCTAGTTAAATGAAATACATTATTAGAATTCATCGTTTCTTTTGACCTTTTTAGCGAGGCTACCTGGAAGTTTGTTGCATGTGAATTTTTATGTGTAAGTGTTGCAGCAGAGGATAAGAATGTTGTGTAGCAAGAGCTACGGTGGCAAAGCACGTGGGAATTTTTGAATTATGCCACGGGGAGCCAGGAATCTTTACAGTGAAGGTGATGCTATGGTGCCAGGAAGAATCAGTAGGGGTTTTCGAGGCAGTGGAGGGTGGAGAACATTACAGTCAGGGAATACAGCCCAGAAAGCAAAATGATGTATGACCATGGCTGTTTAAAGGAAAGCCATAGCCTTCTGTGGGTCCTGTCAGGATAACTGGGAAAACTGCAGGGGAGGAAGTCGGGAATGTAGGCTGAATGCTGAAGGCCGTAGAGTCTTTTGTAGTTGATGGGGAGCTGTTTACGGTTTCTGAATAGAGGAATCATAAGATCCAAAATGTATTTCAGGCAGGGGACTTGGTGTGAGTGTGAGGGGTAGAACAAGCAGAGGTGACACTAAATCAGGGAGACAAGTTTGGAGACTGTTAGAAGTTTGCGTGGGAGATGATAAGAAATGAGTCGAGGCAGCGTGGGTGGAAGTGGAGGGCCTGGATTTGATTAGAGATGCAGGGGCAGAGCTAGCAAGGACTGTGGGCTGATGCAGTGTGGGATGGAGAGAAGGATTGTGAGGTTAAGACAAAATGTTAGTGTGTCATCTATGCCTGTGCTGAGTTGGGACAATCTTGGGATGTGTCTGTTCACCGAGTCAGAGACTCTTATTGGACTCTAGGTGGTATTTTGCTATTCTAAGTAAAGAAGACCACTGTAAAAGACATCCCAAATTTATGGACTTAGTTTTATAATAGTAACAAGAAATCCATCTTTTGTAGTGTTTAAGAAGTCTGCCCTTCAGTGGAGTACTTCCTTATTTATGAATGCCTCTGTAACACGGTCCATCTGTAGGGTTGGTGTATTATGTTTTGAATTCATTCCTCCTGGCATTTTTGATCCCTGAATTATTTGAGGCAATTGTGCATTATAGCAAAAATGACACAGGAAAATGAGTCCCTTAAAGCCTTTGACTTAAATTGTTTTATCTCCATTGTACCTTACTGTTACCTTAATGAACAAAGACTTTTCATGGTTGCCTTTCAGTTTTAGTGACCCCCTGAATGGGGGAAATGGTTTGTTTTAATTGGCTGGCAAGTCCTAACCAGATAAGCTTGTGCTTATACAGAAAAGAAATGCGGTATATAGGGTAAGGAGAACCAGCCCAGTGTGCACACCAAAATGGGAAGGAAGAACATGAAAATATAAGAAGTACCTTGAAATAACGTGACAGATGCAACACAGACTAGCCTGCAATGGAGAAAATGTCGCTTTAAGCCAGTAACACAGTCCCAGCTTGCTGGGTGTGGTGGCACAATGAGCCATTAGAATGGGAAGATACGAGTAAATTAGACATGGTCTTATGACTTTCAGGATTCTTCTTGGGTGGCATAGCACAGAACGAGGGAAAATTATTTATGCCTAATTTTGAACTTTGATTTCTTTACCAGGAATTCTCTTTCCTTTTCCTGCAAGTGCGATATAGTCTGGCTCCTATTACTTCTCCCACCTCATCTTGTGCCCTCTCCCTCATGGTCCTGGCTTGTTGGTACTCTTGTTTTTTGGATTTTAAACAGTCCCCCTTGTGTCCACCTTTCGACTTAATTCTCGTTCTTCATTCTGCTTGGTCTTCCCTGTTTATCATGTGGCTGGATTCTTCTCAGTACTCAGACCCCACATGAAATGCGTCTTTCCAGAGTCTGACAAGCATCCCTTCCTCACAAACCTGCCGCCCTGTCACAGAGCATCCTGTCATCCCATCCCGTCTCCTGTGTTATCTGACTCCCGTTAGAGCATAGTCTGTCAGAGGGCATGTGGACGTAGATCATCTTTTCATTGCTGTGTCCCTAATGCCTGAAAAAGACCCAGCATAAAGTAGATGTTCAATAAATACCTACTGAATTAATCAAAACTGAAAGGATAAGTTTATTACCTCACAGAACTTGGAGCTCCATTTCATTGATTCTCTTTGGGTAGGCATATGTTGAGCATGTCAAAGCGGTCAGTGCAAATTTGAGAAACCTCACCTGGTGGGCTGGATCTGCCCCTTGTTCAACATATTGCTTCTTTCCTCACTATGACCCCAAGAGAGAATCGAGAGAATGTTGGTTATCATGGGAACATTGCCTGCTTCTCAATTTCTCTTTTGAAATCTTATTATGACTTCTTACATTAAAAATCCTATTCAGGAACAATTCATGCGGTGTGATACTGCTATTGCCAGCAGTCTACATCAAGAAAGTATGAATTGACGCCTAAAAGAAAATTTAGAAGGAAAAGGAAAGAAGAAAAGAAAGGTGAGATAAGTGGGGAGAAGAAAATTCCATTTGGGGAGCTGTCTGTAAAGCACAATCCTTTTCTGCTCATTCATTCAAACTCTTCATGCTCCTAAGAGTCATCAAGCTTGAGAGGTAGACTTAAAACCTCCTCGCTTTATTTTCTTTATTCTCAGTGCAGTAAAAGCTATGAGAGGCTTTTACACAGAAAGAGACAGGATCTGATAGTTCAGGGGAGATGATGGGAAGGGAGCTGGGGGGTTGTGCTGGGAAGAGATGAGAGCCAGCACTGGGTCTCCTTGGGTTGCAAAGAGCCTTCTCACTATTTCTGAAAATTTATGCTGATATGTGTGAGCAAAGCTCCATTTTCGTCCTTCATTCTGGGTATGAGTAGGCTATTAGCCTAGAAAGTTATGTCTTTCAGTTTGGGAAACTTTTCTGGAGTTATTATTATTATTATTTTTTTGATGATTTTTTTCTTTACTTTTTCTCTTTGTTTTCTTCTCACCATGGCCTCTTTGTGGCTGTTGAACTTTTTAGATTGTTTCTCTAATGTTTTCTTATTGTCTTCTCTCCCATTTCTATTTATTCTGTTTTCTGAGATATTTTCTCGACTTCATCTCCCA